CACTCTTTGTTCGGCTGAACAATTTGCGCAGTTGCCAGCCATAGCAGCGACAATATTAGCAGCAACAACAACGTACGGCTATTGAACCAAATCTGCGACGTTCATTATTTGAATTGTTTATGCAATAAAGGTAGCCTAATTAATATATTTATATATACATATATATACTAGCGGATATAACCCGGCCTTGCCCGTGGCACGAGTAAAATAAATGTTCTTAAAAAGCTTTGAAAATTATTTAGAAGCCGATCGGACGGTAAACAAACAACTTTCATACAAACGTTAAGTAATAATATTAAATTTAAAATGTAAAGAAAATCCAAGATGTATTACTGAGAGAGTCAACGTCGGCTTGCCTAAGAATTTTAAAGACTGACAAAATTTACATTTTTGCGCCTTCCTGCCTGTTTACACTCAAACGAACACACATCAATTTCGACGCCTAGAATCAATGAGTGCATTGAGAGTACATTTCTTTCTTATTGGTTGAGCAGTTGCATGCAGATCTAGGAGTGCAGTGAGAACAGTTGGGAGAGCGAGAACACACTCTGCATATGCATGCATGCAAATATCTCTGAGTGAGAATCACTCACATACACACACGCATGCATACATACGTTGCACACTGAGCGCGCGACGGCGCTGCACTGATCGTTCCGTTTTCGAGGCTTGTCGTTGGCTGACGATTTGGCAAACTCGCTCTCGCAGGTCAAAAAACAATGAGCGCAAAAAGTGCTGAGACGGTGTCGCAAAAAAAATGTCAACCATGACCGCTCTATAAGTATATATTGCATGCTTATTGTAAAATATTATTATATAATTATTTAAATACTAACAGCACTGAAAGAATGAAAATAAATAAATATATTGCTTTTTGCATTTACACTTATATCATATACACACGCCGCTTACTGCGCAGTTTAAGCTGCGGGTGCGCTGTTTCTTCCTTTAGCCACACACTGTGCGAAATGCTTTCGCTTATCGGTGTGTATTGTCCGATCATTATGAAACTTTAAGGGCATGCATTTGGCATTAAAATGTGTGAAAAACCCAGAGCCCAAAACTAAATTTTTAAAAACAATTTTTTTTTAATTTTTCAAAACCTTATAGATAATGTTCTCAAAAAACGGGTTTCGATATCGATTCGAATCGATTTTATGGAAATATATAAATATATATATTATATAAATAAACGAGCTTATCATATTTTGTTACTATCCCTTCCCATTTATAAATTATAAAACAAAAATCGTTGAGAATTGCTTTTTTAAGCATAAATCAAAAACCTTATAAGTTAAATATCATCGTTTAATATGTCTAGATTTGGCATATTTCCCTTTTTGGATACCAAACATGTATTTACGTTAGCTATTATAAGGTATCTGTGAGTGCGTGCATAAGCATTTTGGAATTCTTATTGGACTATATTTGAAATTTAAAGATTTCGGAGGGGTGAAGGGGATTTTATATTCGCGCACACTGGAATACAGCTTTCTTACTTGTCTTTACTAAATTTGTGATTACATAAAAAGAATTGTTTTCTGTTGAGCTTAAGCCCAGTTGTGCAATTTTAGGCTTATTTATAAGGGTACACCAATAACGCTACTAAATTTAATCTTCGTTCTCTTTCTTGGTCTTGCTGTAGTTGTTTGTGCTGCAGCTAAAATGATCTTACTGAAAATACATACATATATACGCATGCATATATGTATATAAATGTGTATCAGTGTTCTCGGTCTGGCCTGTCTGTGTGCGCGCATACATATACAACATATTTATTGACGCCATGAAAATGAACAAACTGAGTGAGCGACTGATTTGCTCAGCCTTGAACTTCTCTTTGGAGTGCATTAACTCTGCGATCACACAAAACAAACCGAACACACACTCACACGCTCACACAGCATAAGCAACAATGGCTGCGCCTTTCGTGCTTGCAAAAAAGAGAACATTTTTCGACCGAACTTCTGAGAGCAGAATTATCGTTCAGACTGCATTTGTATCGCTGTCTGTTCTTATTGTAGTCTCTTGTTGCTTTATGTAATATAGAATGTAGTCCTCACATACACTCACGTTTCATATGCATGTATGCAATTATTTACAATGCGTACATAATATTGTATGAATGCATATATTTATATATGTAAGTATGCATGTGTATATTTTGTATTTACGGTGGAGCTGCAAGCCGTCTCTTTATCAGCGCCCCCATTTGGGATCGTATTACATAAGCGCCACTAAACGGTGTTGTTGACCAGCAATAAATTTCCCTTTTTTATGCATGCATATGTATGTACATACAAATAATGGGGCGTGGTACACACACACATGCATAGGTATGTACACACACACATACATACATATGTATAAATGCATACTTATAGTTATTCCTTTTTTAATGCCGTGTCTCTTCACACACTCATACAGACGCACCATGGGCATTTCGAACCTTTCTGGCGTTGGCCTTGAACCTGCTGCCGATCGTCCGCTTTGCCAGCAACTGAATGTGGTGAAACAGATATGTATGCATGTATGTATATATGTATGTGTGTAGGCATGGCAAAGCAGACATGTATATGCGTATCTATATGTATGTATGTAGCTATGTACGACCAGATGCCACCGAATGTGAAGTTATAAATGCGAACTAAAGCAACAACTGCAGCTTTAGCTGTGTACGTACGTTAATTCATTCGCTTCTTAGTTATGGTAGGCAGATCTACAGTTCTTGCACACAAACACCCGCATAAGAACACACACACACACACACACACATATACAGATGTACTGGTAAGAACTTTAATGGGTGTGTGTGAAGTAACCGCACGTAACCGTGTATACATGTATGTATGCATGTACATATGCATATCTGCATATGTGTATGTATACATTTTGTATTCGCATTCGAATTGGCCTGACCCCACACAACATTGCAAATGCTCTGACGCAAGACCTTGAGATTGTTTCGTTCTGCCAGCACAATCAAAAGTAGTGCCCCGCCTTCCGATTTGCATAGTTATATAAATATATATGTACACATGTATGTACATATTTAGACGTAGTTTGCATATCTTAATTAAGCCCTATATAGACTTAAAATGACTAACAAGAGATCGCAAGCTTTAATTACCGAATTGAACTTGTGATGAAATTTCGGCAAATTCCCCACGAAAGTGGGAAATTCGCGGAAAACGGTTTTTGTTTGCCATTTTCAACTCATTTACTGCGTTATTTGTTTCAATTAATTAATTAACTAAAACAACCTTCGTGGATTTGATGGAAGAAGTTTCGGGTTCAAGCTCATTTTCAGTGTACTTTATGAAACATTTTTTTACCACCCGTAACTGTGGTGAATTGACAGAAAAATGGTTGTTTAAATCTCCACTCTCTAATTCTCCAATTAGAATACGACGAATTTGTTTCGTATAACAGTGTGCGGCTCATTAAACTGTTATACATATAATTGATTGGGTCAGAAATGTGTCATTTCGAATGTCCTTTATAAGAAAATGAGAATGAAAGGGAAATGTACTAAAATTGCAGTACATACACACAGTCCAGCATGCCATACAATCGGAATTGCAATTCTATTAATAGAATGAAGAGAGAGAGAAAAAAACCCCATGTACACATTTAAATTTAACATTCTTGCGCTTTGCGCTGGCTTCTGTTTCGCAGCCCATCTTGATAAAATGCTCTATAGAAGATATTATTGTGCCCGAGATGCATATTTAGCTAAATTTCAACTTTCTTGAATCTTGCTCTTAAAACCTGGAATTCACACAGACATATATACATGCATGTATGTATGTGTAAGTTATAAACTAAGTGTGTACATATGGTATGCACATACTATCCATGTATAAATGTATGTTATCATCTATAAATTGTATGTATGTATTTACAATGTTAAGTAACGTTCTTACCAGTTATTTGTATCTTTTACTGCAGTTGATAATTTTGATAGTCAGTATATATGCATGTATGTACACATGTACGTGTATGTACATGCATGAAAACAAATGGAAATTCATACATGCATTGGAACAGTCAATATTGTTTGAAATTCTATTCAATCTCATTGAATCCGTCTTAAAATTATAACTCACGCAGTCGCAGTACAACTTATACTGCCGCTTCCTGTGATCACACACGCTCGTGTTCTGAGCACGAAGAGCGTCGTTTCGAAAGCCCGAAGAGTCGCGGCTTGCATTTGCTTATGTATGCATGTATGTATGTATGTGCGAGCGGGCTGTGGGGTTGGATGCAACTGCAGTGTCAGACTCAGGCCAGATCGAACATGTTCGAAGTAAAACACAGCGCAACCGACCTAGTTCCATTATTTGGCCCGTTGCTTTATGCTGTTGGTAATTTTTTTTTTTTTATGTTGCTCTTGTTGTTTGTGTCCCTATCTGAACGTTTTGCGCTTAGTGATCTTTAACGGAGGTCCACTTTCTCTTTTTTGGCCAAGTCAATTGGTATGCTATGCTTAGTTTCTGTCTTAGAGATTCGACCTCATATTCAGTTAACATTTCTTTGCTGCAAAGCGACATTTGTCTTAACATTCTTTTTCTATGCATTGCACGTGCATAACATTACAATAATTATTTTAGTACCTATATGGGTTTATCCCAGAGTAAATTCTATACGCTGAGCCCCCATTGAAGGTCCTGTAATGTGTAAAATTATGCATCTCCGAACCTATTAGAACCTACAAGAGTTATAGATATATATCAAAAATATATAGATATTATAAAAATTATAAATTGTGAATGTATTTAAATAGGCATTCGAAATTTCCAGTTCCTAGCTATAGTTGACGAGATCGGCGCGACTTGATCAAAAATATATGCATAAATAAGGGTGTAGGAGATTTATGTTGCAACACAAACCTTGCAACATACAACATGTCGTGTTCTACCCTTTGTAGCAGTATTCAATGGACCCAGGGCATAACATTGCGATTTATGTTAATAATGAAGAAGAATAGTTATATAATGTCAAAGATTTTACAATGCTTAATATTATATGAAAATGCCTTCTGCGCTCTTCACATGAAATAATTCTAATTACATTTTTCAGCCAGGTTGTGTTTGTCTTAGTCTTTACAGTCTTCAACTTAAGGCGCGATGCGTGTAAAATGAATGAACTTAACCTAACTGTAAGTCAGCCGAAAAAAAAAGGCTAACGGCTGCTTGTGTACTGTTGTCCTGTTGAAACTTTCTCTGTTCCAATGTCTCGCTTGCTATCTCGCTTGCGCCCTCAGTTCTTCTGTTTCTTGTTCGTCCTTTTCTTTGTTATTGCCCTGGCAGCTAAACTTTCAAGGTTAAGCCTGCCAGCGGGGAGCAATGACATTTGGCTGGCGGCGAGCCATCGACCACTTCACAGTGGAGCAAAACACAGCATTTATATGTTGATATAGTTGATACATAATAATAATAATAATAATATTCGTGCATATTTCGATAGACATTTCTCTAGAAATCTACGTAAATACATACCTATATTTGGGTTACGATTGTTATCGCGTTAAATATTAGCTTCCATTTGGAACCAATGTGCATGTGTCGTTCTCTCTTTCTCTCTTCATTTGATCTTCTGCCTGCCTGCTTGTCATTGGTTAATAAGACATGGAGACGAAAAGTAACTGTAAGCTTGTATAACAGTTTTGAGCGTTTGTGCTAACTGCATCGGGTTGCTCTGCAAACGCAAAATCAAACACAAAAACACAAATGATATATTTATAAAGAATTGTCTTTGTCACGGTGTCGAGCATAAAGTCGGGAGTACTTGTGAGAGTGACATCATATATGACATAGAAACCCGATATTTGTCCAAATAGCTTCAGATCCGAGAATATCACAAAATACTTGAAATAGTCGAATACGCTCCTTTCAATCGTGAACAGGGCACAACAAATACGAATCAATGTTAATGTGCATATGTATGTGTGCATGCATGCTGGCTGGAAATTTTATTAGTTTTATGCACACTTACATACATACTTTACACACACACACGCACACGCACAAAGCTTGCCTGGGAAGGGCAGCAAGATGCGCTGGCGAAGGCGGCTGACGCCCTGCCTCTGTCTCTGTCTCTGCCTCTGCCTCAGTCTCTGCCTCTGCCTCTGCCTCTGCCTCAGTCAGATGGGTTGTTGTCCTTGTCCTTGTCGTTGTTCTGGATGTGCGCGGCGTCTGGCCCTGTTCGGTGGAAGGGAAAGGTTATTAGACTTAGCGCAGACATTTTTGTTAAAGTAACCTTTCGCTTTTAGGGTGTTGGTTGGTCGACGGAAACAACCTGGCGTGGTCTGAGGGCGGTTCATCAGACGAAGACGCGGCGCGGCGCGACGCGGCCAGTGTCCTCTGAGTCGTTGTAACTTTGAGGGCCGACGAACCGTGCCACGTCACGACAGCGATAATACTTTAGAGAACGCTTTTCGGCGTTGACTTTACGGTTGAACGCGTGTCCTTAGTCCTTACCTATGCACAACACGAAAAGCCAGGAACAAATTCTAGATTTCCTGCATTGCGTTCTTCTGACTAACAATCTATCTATCTTTCATTGACTTTATTCTATTTTCTTGTAATTATTAAATAATTTTTGTTTAATTAAAAAAATCATCTTTCTGTCAATCTAAGGCATTTGATATGAAAAACTAGCAATCAACGGTTTTCATTCTTTTTACACCCAAAAATTGTAGATCCTCCTAGTTTATTTCCGATAATCGATTACTTGTCCCGCTTCAAAGTTATCGCTAAGAATCGATCCTGTTCTTTGAGCAAATCTCAAACTTGATATGTAGCTTTCTGAACTGTCTCTGTATATATATATTAAGTTACTTTCATTTTATAGCTATCACCACCTGCCAATTTGCATTGCCGCCCAATTTGAGCCACAATTTTAATCAATTGTCTTTTTGAGAACTCTATAGCACAATAAGATCTACTGGTGAAAATTTCATCAAGATCGGTTAAGAAACACAAAAGTTATTGAAGAAAACGTATTTTGGCTGGTCACATGTTTCCCGCAGCTAGCGCAAATTTCAAGAATTTCCGATTGTTGCTATTTTAATTCGTTTTGTTCTCCATAAGGGTCCTATTGTTGGTATCACTGTCGGTTACAAGTTCGAGTCCTATTGAGGGAACTGTTTTTTTTTGTAATTTCTTTTTTAACTGCTGGGCATAGTTAGTAGAGGGTTCAGGGTATCTGCTAGTCGTCAACCCCCGACTAGAGCCTCCTTTTTTTTTACTTTACTTTCTTAACTTCAAATTACTTAATTATTTTTCCAGTTTCGCTTTGCTGATCATTTGTTGCAGTACAGTTGTTGCATATTCAACTAATACCACAAGCACAAATACGGAATGAGGGGAAAATGGCAAACGCGCCAAGTTGGTCATGACATTTGAAAATTGTTTTTGTAAATATGTGTAATAGCCAGCAGGAGACATCTCTAGCCCCATTTAAAATAAATAGTCTTCATCAGCATCAGTAGCCAAATCGTTATTGAGGCATTCAGAAAGTATAAGAGCTAGAGTAAAGTTTCCCACTCATTTTCCACCTGTCGAATAATAACGGTAGTGCACTAGTCGGTAGTGCCCGAAATACGCTGAATTATGTATGTATGTATGAATTCTATTCTAGAAGTTACATTTAAAATTTGTAGACTCTCTTAAATCCTAAAAGATTTGCAGTATTTCAATATCGATTTTGAAAGATTACTTGGAAACGGGATTAGTTATTAATTGTCTAGGAGGACCTACGTTCCAAATTTCCCTCTAGCTTCAGATCGAACGAACAGACGGACGGATAGAAAGATAGACGAACGGACTAGATCAACTCTCGGCTATTGATGCTGATCGAGAATATATATACTTCACAAAACCAATATACCCTTTTTACAGCTCTTGAATGGGAATACACGAAAGGGTTCCCCTGGGCACAAAGATTAGATTGGTGTACTCCCTTTAAGTTTAGATCGATATGCGTACTACTTTACTTTCGAATCGCAATTGAATTCGGCGCAACCTAATTTGTCACTCAAACTCATAAAGCAAATCGCCAACGTGCCGCAAACTGGGACACACATACAAATTAATTTATGCATGCAACAGCAATACTTAGAAATACTCGCAAATGTGTGTGTGTGTGTGTGCTTATGCTAAACGAGCTATGTGTGCGTGTGTGTGTGTGTGTGTGTGTGTGTGTGTGTGTTGCAGTTGCAATCAGAGTTGACGTCGCAGCCGACACACAAAAAATAGAAAGTTTACGTGTTGCATTATTTGCCTGTTGCCGCTGCCGCTGCAAGCATTTGCTGCAATTTTCTCTTTGCAATTTGATTGAATAAAATATTGTGTAAAAGCTAATGTCGGCGTCGACGTCGGCGTCGGCGTCGACGTTGTTGCCAACTTTCCAACCGCAATCGGGGCTTCTAACTCGGTTACGGTTACTAGAAGCAATAATAATTACATTTGTCCCACTTTACTTTCACTTGGCGAGAGTCGAATGCGAATGCGAATGCGAATACGAATGCAACTGCAACCGCGCAACGTGGGCAACTGCGACGGCGACGGCGGCAGCAACGGCGACGTCGTTAGAGACCGGCGTCGACTTTGACTTTGTGTCGCTGCGCAACACTGTAAGTGTGTGTGTATGTGTGCATGCATGTGCATTTGTGTATGTCTATGCCTATGTGTATGTGTGTGTGTGTGTGCTGCATGCTGCAACAAAAGCTGCAACTTTTTCCAGTCGCTAGCTGGGTGGAAATTGTTTACCGTTGCCTGCCTGCCTGCCTGCCTGTTGGCAAAAAGGAAAAGTGGGTCAAGCGCAGCATTATTGCCACACTATTGCTGCACGCTGCGGCTGTCGTGCTGCCTGCTGCACGCCGCGCTTTGTGGCACCTACTTGACAATTTCGAAGCGGGCCAAATTGTGAATTTTGTTTGCCGTTTTTGTTTAACTGACATTTGCATTTCATTTGCAAAAATAGACTGCGACGATCATTTTCTCTTTTAATACCCTCAACACATTGAAAATGGCTTAAAGGGTATATTGGACTAGCTTTGTGTACAATAGATATGTTCTTGTTCGGCATCCGTCAGAAGTCTGTAGCTCTTATATATTATCAAATTTCGCTAGTAAATAGGTGGTAAATAGCTGGCTAAAAGCTTGAGCAATTGATGTTGTTCTTAGTCGGGCACTCCCGAAAGATACTTGACATAAGTATATACTATTCCAAATGCTACATGTCAGATTTGGTGACTCTAGCTCTTAAAACCTAAGAGATTTGTACAGAAACAAGATTTCGATAACGATTCCATCGATAACTTAGAAACGGGACAATTTATCGATTATCGAATACGGAAATTCTTACGCGCGCGCACTAGAAGAAACTACATTTCAAATTTCTAGTTTGCAGCTCTTATAGGTTCGGAGATCCTGGTGAGATCGGCTCGGCCATTGATGCTGATCAGGAATATATATACCTTATGGTTTCTAGCACACAAGAATATTAACACTAAAAGGATGGATGTTACATCTATTTTAATTTGACGCGAACTATTTAGTGTGGCGTTTGGCTCTTTAAACGCCTCGCCAACCGAGTGGCTTTTCGCTCATCAAAAGCCACACGGACTTATACTTCTAGTATGTTCTAGTGTGAAGCGAGTGTAAGTATAAGAGCACAAGTATAAGAGTACGCGATTTCGTGAGTAGAGGGTCGAATAGCCGCGCATTTGACACTTCGCGTGTGGATTGTTGTTTTTATTTAACATTTTTTAAATATATTTTCTAATTTTTAGAGTTATTTATCGTTTTACTTAATATTATATATACTTGATTTGCTTACATTTCGTTAGACATTTAATTTGTTTTTTGTTTTTCTTGTTTTTTTTTAGTTTTCTGCTGTCTCCTGTACATACAAAATTATTACATTACTCTTTTTAGCTTATTCTTTATTCAATCTTATTTGCACGAACATTTTCATTGTATATATTTACATGTAAATACTTAAGTACTTAATATAAATCAAAAATCATCTATTTGGTGGTCCGTAAAAGTGTTTCTCACTTTCAAATATAGGCGAAAATTCTCGTAACTATTTCAAGTGAAAAGCCATTTCTATTGTGTACCTAATATTGTATACCAAATTGAATAATGGATAGTTCGTTTTGAATTAATAAATCAATTGTTTTTGCTTGGCGTTTCTTTCTTCATAATTGACTAGTGTTTCAGAAACTGAAACTTACCAGTTTTTGAAAAATCATCGAAATTAACGCCGGAGAATTTAATTGGGCTGCTTTGTTTATGTTCTTTCTAAGTACGTTTTATAAATAATAGTTTTTACAATGTATTCCATGTTCAATTCAGTACGTAATTCGCAGGTTATTTAAGAAGGGCTCGAATTTAAACTAATTATAAATATATATATATATATATATATATTTTGTTGCACAGGAATCTGAAATACAGCGGTCGTTAAAAACAATTATATTCAAACATGTTAATTATTAATCTTTTGGCATAGTTTTGGTTGTTCGAATATAAATTTGCTTGATGCTTGGGATATACAAATGATATTTTGTGTGTTCTTTAAAATCTATATAAAACCATAGTTTTTTAAATATATTTAAATTTAGTGCACGCACTTGTTAATATGAAGCAAGCTTTGTTATATGAACTTGTACATTGAAATAAAATGATATTTAATTCTGAAAAGGTTTGTTCACAAATGTTAATTGTAATTGTTAATCAAAGGGGGTAATTAAAATTGTTAGCAAGTAGACAACCAAAAGATGACGTGTTAAATGCTTTAGGGAAAATCAAAGAAAAAAAGCAAACTATTTCTTTTTTGTATGCGTTGGCAGGTAACACCACTTTTGCTTAACTCGCACGAACAGAAGAGCCAATTGGTAATGCAATAACTTGCAATGGATAACGGATTTAATGACACTGGCGTTGGTTATCGCCGATGCAGAATGTTAGAGAGGGTGCGTATTTGTTTCTGCAGTTCCGAGTCCATTCGGCAACATTCCTCATCAAAGATTTTGCGCATTTGCTGCAGCTGCGGCAACTTGTCGGCTTGCATATTGAGCAGATCGCAAAAGAACTTGGACCACACGTGCTTCTTTAAATAGCGCGGCAACTTTTGACGTATCTCCCAACCGGCGGCTCGTTTCTGCGGCTGCATATACTCGCCAAAGAGCATGACGTGCACCGTGCTGGCAATACAAAAAAGATCTGTTTCATATGACCAGGAGCGGCCCTCCTGCATTTCGATGCATGTAAAACCATCCGTCTGCACCACCTTGCGGAACTTGGTGTGCTCCGCGTCGGGAAACAGCGACATGTCGATGGCGCATCCAAAATCAATTAGCCGCAGCGAAGGCTCGGCATTCTCCACACTTGGTACGCGCATTAGCAGAAAGTTGTCGGGCTTAATGTCCGCATGAATGATGTGCTGTCGATGCAAATGATCGACAATATTGCAGATCTGCGATGAGAAGTGCATGACCAGAGACTCGTGCATCACCTTTGTGGTGGCTTGACGTATTTTATTATTAATGTCCAGCAGCGAACCGAAAGGCGAGAACTCAGTGGCAATAAGGCTGGCATTCGGTGCTATAATCGCAGTCGATATATCCATAAGTCCTGGCAGCACTTCCGGCTCCCGTATGCGTCTCAGCACCTTAAACAAAAATTACACATAAGCAAATAAAGTATTGATTGACAAGTCTGAATATTCACCTGATCGCATATATAGATCTCCCAAGTATTTGGCGGCTTCTGGTACTTGAGCGCCACAACGTTGCCGGTGCGAGTGTCAGTTGCCTTGTAGACAGAGCCATAGGATCCGCGACCCACCTCTTTGTCAATGTTGAACTGCACGCCTTCCAGGACGCTGAGGGTGCGCGTGTTGGAGATTTTCGGCAGCGGTGTTTGCACAACTTTATAGCTGGCATGGGCGTCGTTGTCGCCAGGAAAATTGAGTTTAGTCAAAAAGGCGCGGCAGAGCTCGCTGTTGAACGGATCGATTGCTTCTTTGCCCAGGTGACGGGCAATTGTCTCCAGCGCCTTTGACAGACGGCGTTCCTGTGCCTCTGCGTCGTGTTGTGTAGCGAAATATGAGTTTTCCTGAAATGTGGAAAAGTCCGCCAATGTGCTTGTTGTGCTCTGTGCAGGCA